CTTATGTTTTTCACTAGTATCGTCTGTTAAGTGAAGGATTCATGTATACACAACAGATGCAGAATACTCCACTTCAAATGACAGCTGTTGAGCTTAACATTGAGTGATGACAATGTTCATGAACTATTGTGAAGACTCTTTAACACAAAATTCTTTTTTTTCCTCACACGTTTACTGCAGAGCAGGAAGAAGATCAAATTTCTGCACATCATGATTTGAATCAAAGGGCAGACATTAAACCTAATTTTTTTCAAACAAGTTGCGATTGTAGATGTATCTGGCGAGTTTACTTATTTATCAGGCTAAACACGGCTATGCCACTGACCTTATTCTTGAAGGTGTTAAAAAAAAAAAAAAAAAAAAAAAGAATGATATTCACAGGAATAAAAGAAAACAATTCAAGTTTTATGACAATAATGACAAATAATTTAAATACTGGTGGATTTTTTGGAATGTAGAAGAGCTGGAAAAAGATAATTCAGGAGGAATTTCTTCTAGAAAGACCGTTGGTAAATGTCATAACACCAATACTAGCTTCTGCTGCTTAATAATGTGCCAGCAGGCTAATCCATTAACTTTATTACAAAGACTCAAAAAACTAAAATCAAGAGACTGTTCTAAAAGACATATTTTACAAAGGTATCAAGCAAGTATATGAATATGCCAAACACTGCTTATACTTGCAAAGACTTTATACTGAAAGCTACAAAATAAGAATGACTTTTTTTAACTCAGTCCTCCCCCCCCCCTCTCCGGTGCTTAGTCAAAAAATTTTGTAGACACACTGACAACAACAACCAAAAAATTACAAGATACTGTACAGAAGTATTAAAACACATTTTAGAAAGAATATATAAAAAATTCATTATACTAACATATCAAACAACATGAAAATCTACCCCCAAAAAATAGATATTTTTATATTTACCAGTTATGCAACTTCACAATATATAACATATTCTTTGAACTTTATGTATAAAAAAGCATGCAAAAGGCTTTGAAAATAAGCCCTCAATCATAGAAATAAGACTTACATACTGAGCTTTTAATCTACAATTTCCATATCTGATGAATCCCCTTATAGCCGAAAGTTACATAGTTCGATGAATCCCTTTGCTAATGCACAGGAAGACAGATGCTTTGTACATCACTTCCGACTATTGCTAGTTAGATGGTGGCATGAGTAGTTTTTCAAATTATAGAGTACATTATTATAATTTGTAATATTCTGAGTTTGTATATTGATAACACAAAATAATAGTATAATGAATGGTATTATATCCACTCTGTAATTTTAGTGTGCACGAAGTTTTAGTCATCAAATAAATACTATATTTATAGTATAGCTGGCAACACTGACACCAAAAAAAATGGACAAATTTCAACGAGCACAGACAGGAATATCTTAGATTCTTCACAGAAAAAAATTTTTCATTAATATGTCAAAAACGATAACCGTCTGTCCATTTTGATACAGAATTATTAAAATATACATATTATTGTCAGGTGTCAGCTGTTGGTCATATCCCTCTCAACAAGTTACAAGTGGTCCTATAGATAAAATACATACCTAAACAGAGTTTAAAACATACATATTTTTTTAATTAAAATTACTTCGGATTCAGTTTTGATTTTTCATTATGAAATGTAGTTCAGATAAGAAATGGCAGTTACAACAGCTTTTTTTTTTTTTTCCTCTGCATAGCCCCCGAGACCATGTCACATACCCCAAAATATGCATACCACAGATTCACAAATGCTGATCTAGAACTACTACACAACTTCTATCAAAGTACTATTAAAAGATACATCCAATAGGACTAAAATTTTTTAAAAAATCTGAATTGTTAAAAAATAAACTAATGCCACATATATATATGTGTCTATGTGTGTATGTGTGTCTGTACGTATAAAAAGACAAAAAATCATGACCGCCTACTCAATAACACAGTGTGTGACCTCTAACCTGCAAAACAGCTGCAACTTGAATTGGCACTGACAGCACAAGTTCTGGCAGATGACTGGAGACAGGTTGTACCAAATGTCTAAGCAGCAGTCACCCTAAATAGGGGTATTTCAATATGATGGTGTTTGAGTTCTGAGCTAGTGCTCCATGACATCCCAAATGTGCCATATCGGTTTCAGATTCGGTGAGTTAGGTGGCGAGGATATTAATTTAATTCACCCTATGCTCCTCAAATCACTCCAACACAGTGACATGGGACATTGTCCTGCTAGAAGATTCCATTTCCAGTTGGGAAGACATATGGCATAACTGTGCAAATGATTTAGAATTATATTCCGAGAATCTGCAGTTTTCATAGCCTCTTCTACTACAGCTAAGAGTAAAAGAGCCCCCCCCCAACCAAGTGTGCATAAAGTGGAGAGACAAATGATGACAATGGACACAAAAATAGCACCACATTCTTTTTAGAAGAACCTCGGTTCTGCATGCAGCATCATGATGGTTATGTGGCGCCACTAAAGAAAATGGATGTTGCTAGGTTACATTCACCATGGTCATACGGACACAGCAGCCACCATGCTGGTATGGGATGCCACTGGGTACACATCCTGGGTCACTTTCACATAGCCAACCTGGACAGCCATCATTAAATTTCTGACGTGTTAGAACCTACCGGAAAACGTGCTTTATTTGCTTGATGACATCTTTCAACAAGATCATGCACGTTGTCCATGCTATTCTAGCATTCCTCAATACAGAAGATGCTTGCTTCACTATTGCCCTGGTCAGCACATTCTCCAGACATATCAAGCCATAGCCTTCCGAGCAACTGGCACTCCAACCACTCGCCAGACATTACAATTGTTGAACTCTGAGAGTTGAAGCCACATTCAATTATCTGTCATTCTAACTCAGTTTAAGCCAATGCCTAACAGGATTACATCTGCTGTTGTGGCTAGAGGTGACAGCTCTGTGTACTTAATTCTGCATGATATGTATTCTAAGCCACCTGGAAATTAATTTTTTTTCTTCCTGTTACACTGTATACATATACCAAATTAGATTCTACAGTTTGCTTTCCTTCTTGGTGCAGCAATTTTAATGGAGTTTATTTGCATCATTTTAGAAAATTCAGTGTATTTGCCATCATATATAAAACATTTCCAAAAGAGAAGGGAAGCCCTATCCATATATACTGGTGTGCAAAAATTAAGGACGGAGTCGAAAAACTCCAACCACTCGCCAGACATTACAATTGTTGAACTCTGAGAGTTGAAGCCACATTCAATTATCTGTCATTCTAACTCAGTTTAAGACAATGCCTAACAGGATTACATCTGCTGTTGCGGCTAGAGGTGACAGCTCTGTGTACTTAATTCTGCATGCTATGTATTCTAAGCCACCTGCAAATTAATTTTTTTTTCTTCCTGTTACACTGTATACATATACCAAATTAGATTCTACAGTTTGCTTTCCTTCTTGGTGCAGCAATTTTAATGGAGTTTATTTGCATCATTTTAGAAAATTCAGTGTATTTGCCATCATATATAAAACATTTCCAAAAGAGAAGGGAAGCCCTATCCATATACACTGGTGTGCAAAAATTAAGGACGAAGTCGAAAAATTAGCATATCAGCTGAACGAAGAGGGAGAGCAGACAGAAAGACCAATCAGGAGATTAAGTAAGGTGATGTACGGTAGCACATGCGCAGATATGCAGGTAGACGTAATGGGGAAGAGTCTGAGTAGTATAAAGCATGTTGTCGGTGTAAGATCAGTATTTCTGGCAAAGAGATTGCATGCCGAATAGCAGTTAAAATCACACCGAGTTGCTGCCTCAGCGAGAAATGGCGAATAATCAATCTGTTAGACGCCATCTGGATGCTTTTACCCGAGGTCGAATCATTGGGAAGTTGGAGGAAGGCCGCAGTCAGAAAAGCGTGGCTGCAGAGTTCGGAATTGCTCACAGCATCATTTCACGACTTTGGAGACAATTTCAAACTACAGGAACAGCTATCCGGGGGTTTAGTAGTGGTTGTCCACGAGGAACCACACCCGCAGATGACCGGTATATTGCCTTACAGGCCAGAAGAAACAGGCGGCAGACAGCGGGAGAAATGGCTAGACACACGACACAGGCGACTGGACGACCGATATCGCATTTTACCGTGGCCAGAAGACTGCACGGTGGTGGTCTGTTTGCATGACGCCCTGTACAGTGTGCACCTCTAATGCCTGCCCATCGGAGAAGGCGTTCTCTGTGGTGCCCGGAACACCGGAATTGGAGAGACAATGAATGGGGACGAGTACTCTTTACAGATGAGAGCAGCACGATCTCCGGATTTCAATCCCATCGAGCATGTATGGGATTTTCTAGGCAGATGCTTGGCAGCTCATATCTTACCACCAGTAACGATTCCGGAGCTTCGATTGGCGCTGCAAGACGAATGGGCAGCAATGCCTCAACAACTCATTGACACCCTCATTCTCAGCATGGGCAGACGCTGTGAAACCTGCCTAGCAGTCAGGGGAGATCATATCCCCTATTAAAGACCGGATGTTTCTTGCTGGACACCCATCACAGGGATGTTTTGGCCTTCAGTCGCATTGCGCTCCATGCTACTTTTTCAATAAAGCTTCCTTTTATCCCTCTGATTTCTCTTTTAGTAAGTGTTGCTTACATTACTCATGTCCTTACGAATTGGGGATCTTACGGTAATAAATGCGTTGATTTGGAAAGCTTTTGTACAAAGTTATATTGAAAAAACCGGCTCGTCCTTAATTTTTGCACACCAGTGTACATTGCATTTCCTTTAAACAGTGAATTTTAAGATATGTTAATTTCAGATTAACCAAAATCCTTACAAGCTAGCATTTAATATACACTTTCTTTAATATAATTCAGGAAATAACATCACTGATCATGTTTCTATTATTAATATTATATTTTATTACAGAACTACAATAGCTAATAAGAATTTAATATTGTACTTACGCCTAAAGTTAAATAACTATAATTTAATATTGTACTTACACCTAAAGTTAAATAACTATATGGACTCGAAGCACCAAAACCATCTTTTATAACAGCAGCTGGCATTGATTGTGAAAAACCATATCCTGCCCATAGGCTTGACGGAACTTGAGTAGATTCCTTCGATTCTATAGGTCTACGCATAGCTACATTTCATTAAGGAAGACAAAAAAAATTACAGAAATAATGCTATAAAAGTACTAAAGTACTATTTTATATACTAGAACAGAAACTGCTTTTAAGAGTTTGATTCATTTCTAAGAACAATAATAATTTATTCACTTTTACCAGAATTATATGATTTTACACTGAATACAATTCATTAATAAGGTCTGATGTGAAGTAATGTATGTTTTCAAATCCAGTATTGAAATACCACTGTAGAACTTTGGATTATAATCTGTACAGAGGAACTAACAGTAGCTGTACTCCGATTGTACACTGCGCTAAAAAAAAAGAGGGGACAGTTCTATATCTCCCATTCTACTGGGCTGATTGAGAAAGTTCAACTTGCATTTTTCATATCTCAAAAAGGTGACTTAGAATACATATTAGATTTATATATAGCATAGATATTTTGACACAAAATCGGACTTTTTCTTAAACGACATGAATATTTTTTTCCATATTTTGATTCTAGGACTCAAATTATGCCAAACTGGCAAGTTTTGTAAAAATTGCATGAGTACTTTTTAAAAAATTAGCTCTCAAAATTTCAGCTCCTCAATGTCAATTGAATTTGTTATATATTTATTAATCTCTCTTTTTTTATTACACTTACTTGATTCCTTTCTTCCAGAATTTAAAATTTAGGATTTTTTTTTACGATTTATTTTTAAATTTGTATTTTTTAATATTTGCTTTAATTTTTCAAAAAAATTTTATATTATAACCTTCAAAATTTTTAACATCATCTTAAAGTAGATGTATTTCTAGGCACACCTGCAAAAGATTGCAGTTTTTTATTCAAAATTTCCTAAAATATACGTGAATTTACATTTTGGCACATTTTGAAATTTGATTTATTGATTTGCATTTTGTGTTTATTAAAAGCGATAATAATGAAAATGTGGTTTACGCACTTTGTTACCAATTATTTGCAAGTATGAAAGATGACTTTTTCCCGCTCGTGGACAATGACAAAAAGGAAAGGAAAATTAAGAAGTTCACCAAGTGAATTATTCTTGGCACAAACTGGGAAAAAAAAAAAAAAAAAAAAAAAAGAGCCAAGACAAATTTTTAAACTTCTTCATGAATTTCTCACAAAAAAATTACAAAATTTAATACCTGAGCATAATTTGAGTTGTAGAATCGAAATATTGAAAAAAATTAGTATGTTATTTCAGAAAAAGTCTGATTTTTGTATCAAAATACCTACGTTAAAACAATGCTATATATAAATCTAAGTCAATCGGCCTAGTAGAACAAGAGATAGAACAGTCCCTTTTTAGTCCAAAGAGGCAATTTGGCCAGGACTATTAATTTCGTTTCAGCATTTTGCGTCGATTTACGATAAGTGTTATTTCACTTTTAAAATTGTTGCAACCACATATTATCTATCAATCTGTATTATATTTAAAGAAATTAAATAATGAAGAATTTGCATGTTGTATGTATGTTTCTTGCAGTGTGATATAACAAGAGTACCTAGAGCCATCAAAATTTGAATAGTGTAATCTTCCATAGAATATGGGCATGCGAAAGCCCTAATTTGAATTTGAAATTTGTTTTAATTTCGATTTCATATTTTGTAACAGTTCGACGAATTGATTAACAAACTGAACAATTTCAAAGCGAGCAATGGCAACACTGTACCAGTGGGGGGGGGGATTTTTATCTCCAACGCACAAGACTCTGTATCGAAAATTCTAAAAATATACTCATTTTAAAATTATTCTGTGATATTGCTGTTGAACTGAATTTTATGGTTTAAGTGCAAAGAACATGATATTTTAATAAATAAAGGTAACACAAATGTTAAAAAAAAATGCCCCTTTGGACGTAATTTAAAATCTGAAACTACTAATTTGCATGATGCCATACATGCATAAGAACTTTGTTTTATTTAGTTAATGTTTTGATGTTCTAAGAGTGTGCTGGGTATTACAGTGTAACATGTGTATTGTCCCCCAATGCTCACCTGCTTCATAGAAGATTTACATTTCAAACTAGGGTTCAATTTTCTTACAGAAAATTCACATAATTCAAGAATTACATTGAAAGTGTTTCTATTTATATTTTGATCTGAACTGGTCACACTGAATTTGTTTTATTGGTATCTTATTACTCAAGAGGTATTTTAATTAGAAACGGCACAACTTGGTTAATTATAGAAGTAAAAAAATAAACAAAAATCTAGTAGAGTTTCTTCAACTAAAATTCTGAACAGAATAAGTGATACATTTATAAAGGGAAAACAACTGATGTTATTGCTTTGGAAGATTTTAAAAATTAGAAGAGAAAACTAACCAGATCTTCCACCTTTGAACTACAATTTTGAACTACAATATAGGCATATCTTATTGAATTAATAGTTGGTGTTAACATTAATCTTTTTTTAATATGCACAGTACATTTGTTCTGCTCTTGTAATTCATCTCCTGCTCAGATAGCATCACTGCTATGGAAGATTTCACATACTTTTATTATTAATAAAATAACAACTAACTGCAGCCATCTTGCAACATGTGTTAACTGGCCTTACAGAGTTAACTTACTTTCCTCTGCATTTCCTTTGGAGGTTTAGTTGTCTATCAGCAGTTTTCACAGTTTACTGTTGAAACTATTACTCCCTGGTCTATTTTCCTTGTTAAAATGTCAAATTACATTTCTGAATAATGTAAAGAGTAATAATCTACCATGTTAATTCAAGTCAAAATTTATTACAAAGATTATAATATGCAATCCTAATAGTTTATTCTTGTATGTTTGTCAGTTCAGTCGGAGGATATTTTCTCATAATTATTGCACATCAAATTTTTAAGCACCACGCATCCTCTAAGAAAATGGGATAGAAACACAAATCAACATATCATAACCATCAGCATCAATTTAATTTCAAGGGATAGATTAATGTATATATCATCATGAGTATATCACTTTTACTTAAATTGAAGGCCCACCAGCGGCCGAGTGGTAAAGTTGCTGAACACTGGTAGTTCGGTCCGAGGTTCAAATCCCGCAAACAGGCTGGCTGCATGGGCGTTTTCATGGTTTTCCCCATGTTTAACGTGTATACAAGCCAGTTTCCCTTAGAAAGTCCTCCACGAAGGCATCCCTCCCCTTAGGCAGATAGCCGTAATCACAATAAACCAACCAAACCAAACTTAAATATAAAAATTGCTAAATCTTAAAATCTTTTGCATGTTGTAATACTTTTTCACCCAACTACATAAATCACAAGTTAACTCTAAAACAAAAATTACAACTGAGCACTAAGCTAGAGTAGTGATTTCCAAACTTTCTGGTCTGGTGAAAATAATAAAAACTATACCCGATGCATTTATGATTCTGAGCTCACCAGAAGTCAATGAAACTAAACACTGCAATCAGTGAGAGAACCCCGCACTCACATTATAAATGATCATACACATGCAAGTGATCATGATCCTATTTCTTTGGCATATATCCAAGCATCACTTCACGCAGCACACTATGGAGAACACTGATGACAGAAAGACAACAGAAAGCCAGATCGTGATAAGATTATCTGAAACTCAGAAATCAAATATACAAATTTCTCAAAATATGAAATTTTCACAAATAGTAAAGAAAAAGTATATCTAACCATCAGAAAGAAAAATATATCTATCCAATATAAACTAACAAAATCTTTTTGTTTACATGATTCAACAAATCAAACAAAAACTAGCATTAAACACTAAACCTTGGGCACTGAAAATGCACCAAAGGTTCATTTAATCCACACCAAAGGTTCATTTAATCCAAGTATTTCTCAACTTGGGTCCACAGTTTTTACTGGGTCCATACGACAAAATCATATTTCATGGCTCCATAATACAAACTATGGAGTTCATGATAAACTCTAATAATCAAATAACTTGATAAAATAATAGTCTAAGACAATCATATTTTCTGGAAACTTCTTTAAGTTTACGGGGAAAATCATTGATCTTTAGAAACATCTGTCAGCAAAAATATAGTAACAAAACTGAAAAGTTAATAAAGTTTTAAAAGAAAAAGGAAGGAATAGATTGGAATAAGATAAGTTTTCTAAATAATTTTTGCAAACCCAAAGTCAAAATTATGATTAAATTTCCAACTAGAAATATTAGTTACTCCCATGCAGCCAGCTCAATCATTAAGGAACCTGTATTTAATTATTTATGCTCAGTGGATTCTCCTGCTTGCTTGTTAATGGACCCACTCATCCACTGATTTATCAAGTTGGTTACTAATGCTATAAGTACACTTTTGGGGGGACCAACACAAAAAATGGTATACAAATTTTACCTTTTTTAATATAATTAACTAAACGACATGATAATTATAATGAGGGCCAAATTTTGATGACCACTTGACACTTATATGCAGAACGGCCTACGTTCACACTATTGTCGCTAGAGAGCAAGACAGCTACAAAAAGGAAGTGAAGCATCAATTGCATTGTGTGGCTAGCGAAAAAATGGGCAAAAAATGTGACTTAATTGCATTGCATATGAATGTGGAATGATAGCAAGCTCTCGAATCTTTTAAACCATTATTATCAAAACAGCTGCACTTGTGGAGTGCTCAAGAGCAGAAGTTATTAATCCTTACATAGCAAGCAGAAAATCGAGTCTCAATGTCAGGCTTGTGGTCATGACAGATTGATTACTGAATGTTCTCTCTGAAAGGAGAATTGCCCAAGTTGTCCAGTTCAACAAAAAAGCACCAGTTCATCATATTGCAGGGAATCTTATTCAAGGAGCAACTATGAACGTCTCTGAATGAACTGTTCACTGCACATTACGCCATATAGGTTACGGAAAGCAACAATCTTTTCAGAAGCCTCTACTGTCTAAGTCATCTGCCTTGGACGACAGGTCCAGTTCACAAAGCAGCACAAGGATTGGACAATAAATGAATCATGTTTTCAAACACACCATGCAGATGGCAGGTTGTGAAAATGGAAAAAACAGCATGA